GTTGCTCAAGTCTAACAGTTCCTCCTTTAGAGCTATGAGGGTGCAGTGCTGTGCGGCATGGCTTTGTCGATAAACAAAGCTATGTGGTCACCATACTGGCATGGATGTGGTATTCATATGAACTTGTTTATAAACAAAACTGTTGGCGTTATTGTTAAAGCCCAATTGACGCCTCAGTTCAAAACCCATCCCAGGTCCATGGACACAAAAGGCGTGTAAAGTCTTACAGTTTGTTTCCTTTAGAAAGCTGCTGCAGCCTGAGTAGAAAAGACTGTCCCCTGCCAGCGTGCTGCAGAATAAGATCCTTACACTCTGTGTGGAAGCAGCGGTCAGGCATCGCCCCCCTTGCTGAGTCAGAGTTATGGGGAGCATGAGCTTTGCTGATTGCATAACTATAGGTTTGACTCAGCAAGGCGGCATGCCAGACCTCTGCAAAGAGACCGCTGCTTCCACACAGAGAGAGCAAGGGTCCTTCTCTACAGCATGCTGGCAGGGGAGAGGCTGTGGCTGCTCTGTAAAGGAAACCATCTGTAAGACTTTACACATCTTTTGTTTTGATGCACCTGGAATGTATTTAGAGAATTTAAACTGATGGTTCAATTGGGTATTAAAGTTAGGGTTAGTGTTGTTATCAAGGTCAGAGTTAGTGTTCTCGTCAAGGTTAGGGTTATTGTTATGGTTACTGTTCTTGATAAGGCTAGGGTTAGTGTCATTGCTAAAGGTAGCGATAGGGTTCTCGTTAACATTAGGGTTTTTGCTCTTGTTAAGGTTAGGGTTAGTGTCATTGCTAAAAGTAGGGTTAGGGTTCTTGTTAACGTTAGGGTTTGTGTTCTTGTTAGGTTAGTGTTCTTGTTAAAGGGTAGGGTTAGTGTTTTTGTTAGAGGGCAGGGTTAGTGTTCTTGTTAGGGTTAGTGTTCTTGAAGGACCAGTCCTCTGCTATGTAGTATTTCAGCTTCAGATGATAACTTACTGAGTTGAGTGCTTTTATTGGCTTATGTCTCTTGGGGCTTCCAGAGGTGAGGTCTCCATGCCATAGTTCCTGAGTCTTGTCCTTGAGGTTGTTGGTGACCCTACTGGCTTTTGGGATGCCCCTACTCTTCCTGCTACATCCTACACACTATATGTAAATTTAAAAGTAAAGCAGAGATTGGCACCCCCTCATACTGCCCATGGCAGGGGCACAGACCTAGGAACTCAGAGCAGAGATCTTAGCACCCGTGTCCTTGAAGGTGGGGTGATTTAACTTCTCAGCCAAATCCTGAGATATCACTTTCAGGTGCCTTAAAACTTTCGACTGAGTTTATGTAACTGAGGCGCAAACCCGAGTTTTCTCCTTAGTGTTTGGTCCAAATTAACATCCATAACTTTAGTGTTGTTTAGAGTGGTGTGGGTCTTCCCAACTAAGGTGTGTTTACCCTGCATGGAGTTATACCCAAGCTTTACCCAACCTTAACCACCGGATCGTTGACATCTAACCCTGTCCTGTCAAAAAGAACCATGGAGGTTGATTTGCTAAAGGCAAATGGTTCGCTTAGCTTAGTGAATGTGGTGAAAAATCACTTTGCAAGGAATACCCAATCATGTGCATCAAAAAAGTACATCTGGTTGCACATGATTGGATGATGGAAGGCAGCAGAGCTTCACCTCATTGACTAAGCTAAGGGAAAATTTCCTCACAAGGTAACAAAATTCCACCTTTTTACTTCTAGTAGATCAACCCCAAAGTGCATGCTTCTTCTCCAAGTTGATCGTCCTCCAGTGGACCTGGGCATTTGGTCATGGTTCTGGCCACGGGCATTCTCATTCTTGACATCTTTCTTCTAATAGTTCTACAGTTACGGCTTCAGCAGAGACGGGACCGTCAACATCTGGTGGATCATGGCTTCCTGCACTGTGAGTATAACCTCAGAGATGATCCATCCTCTGGGCACAAACAAAAATATAACCTTGACTAACATAGGAGTCCCGTCTTCATTCGAGGATTTGTCTACTACAGTTACTGACGTTCGTAGTCTCGTCTTGCACTTTTAGCCGTTTTTTAAATGTTTTTGTATTGTTGACCGTCTATGCACAGGACCTCAATGCAACATGCATCAACATTTTTGGAACTTTTTACCATTTAACTAAAGCTTAAAATGTATCCAAACCCAAAAACAAACATGTTCTATATTGCAGCATTGGTGGCTACATTAGTTGTTCATTAGTACATTAGTGTTTTTTTTCCTTTTGTTTTGGTTTATTTTCACCTGGTGATCCTGCCAGTAACAGAATACCTATCCAACTCACTGTCCTGTATCTATAGAGATGGGCAGAGCCAGCTGTCATTGAAGCAGCTGAGTGTATCTCAACAATAATGTCGGGATCCTTCCCGGCTGCGGCGCTCATAGTATCACGGGCAATAGCTCACGATATACTGAGCTTTGGGTCACGCGAGGACACTAGTATACAGGTGAAACTCGAATAATTTGAATATCGTGCAAAGTTCATTTATTTCACTAATGCAACTTAAAAGGTGAAACTAATATATGAGATAGACTCATTACATGCAAAGCAAGATAGTTCAAGCCGTGATTTGTCATAATTGTGATGATTATGGCTTACAGCTCACGAAAACCCCAAGAACCCCAAATCCACAACCTCAAAAAAGTAGATTATTACATGCAATCAATAAAATAAGGATTGTACATAGAACAATATCGGACCTCTGAAAAGTACAAGCATGCATATGTACTCAGTACTTGGTTTGGGCCCCTTTTGCAGCACTTACTGCAATTACTTTTGCATGATATTCTAATTATTCGAGTTTCACCTGTATGTCCTCCCGTGATCCTAAAGAGAACTATGGGGAAAAACACTTACCCCGTAGTTCTCTTTTAAATATCCCCAACAGAGACACCGACAGCAATAAAATCCAGACAGAGGTTCTAAGCCTTCTCAACTCTATCCAAAACTTGGGAAAATTTGTCTTGATTTCCATTTTAAACTTGACCTATGTATTACGCACCTTAGTGTTAGGACAATCTGTATGTGATACACAGATCTACACAAAATATCTGCGCAGGATAGTGCTAAAGTGCACCTATAAAGGAGACAGGGGTGGCTGTATCTGGGCCTATGAGTACTCCATGGGCCATGGACTCCACCACCCCCACCAGTTCCCTGCTCTATACTCCCAACACAGCCCCATCTCTGTATTCATCGCCCCTTACAGCTAATGAAGCCTCTCGTTGGTCTCTAGGAATTGAGATGATTGACTTTGTAACCACTGTCATCAAAAATCAATAACTCAAAAGCATGAGTGAGGTAGTCGATGGTTTAATTTTCCGGCAGTGCTGGTTTCAGAGGGGCCCTTGTGATTTGGTTGTTGCTCCTGGACCAGCGATCTTGTCCCAGTAAATATTTAGCTTAGCGTGTATATAGATGTGTGGGCGTTCATATCATACAGAGACGGATCCGCACTGCGTGCATAGAGCCGGCCACTGACTGGATACAGAGGACATTGGTCACGTTGTAGTGTTGTGCTAATCACTTCCTCCTTTTAATTATTGTTCCAGTTTTTGTTTGCGTGTTGAAAAACCCATTTAACTGATTAACCTTTTACTACATCCTATTATGTGCAGCACCAAATGATGACATTTGCTGCGAGTTCTCCTTTTATTTTGGGATGGCTAACCGTGTGATTTCATAAACTAACCACCATATGCTGTTTATGAAATAAACTTTCACGTAGATGTAAACCTTAACACGATGACCTTCACTTTGCTATGTGTGCTGTATATCAGAAGCAACAGTCCGAGAACCCATCACACTCCTGATGTTTTTTTCCATATGGATTCAAGTAGGTGCAGCGGTGATCAACGGATGGCAGCCGTTATCAGGCACAAAGAGAAGAATGGACACCGGCACTCCAGATGCAGTACAAATGCGTCTATTGACGACAATGCAGCATAATCACACTAAGTGCAATGTTTCGGGGTCTCGCAGGATCCCTTCCTCAGGCAGAACATGTGTCCATTCTTCTCTTTCTGTATATCAGAAGCAACTGCCTTTTATTATTTTCCAATGAAATATTTGCTTTTTATTTTATGTTTTATCCTTCCATTCATCTCAGTGCTGCTCATCTCCTGCAGCCACTTCCTGTCTACATGCACTCCGGTGATGGTTGCATGGCATTTCTCAGGGCGAGTTTCCTGATGGTGACAACAATGGAGCAGGACTGCGTAACATGCGTTGAAAGCGGTCACTTACAGTCCCAATCAGAAACCCAGTGTGGCAGGGTGACAATGCTGGAGCACATTTGGGAGACAGGGACAGAGCATTGTCACCCTATGACAGGAAGTGCCTGAACAAGGACCTTCGCGACAGGATCACCAGGGGTTGTTTTATTGACTTTTGAACTTTTGAAGTGACATTTTCATATTGAAGCGTATGTGAGTTTGAGTTCACCTCTACTTTTTTGGCTTTTGAATAATGGGAATACAATTTACAGGTGTTGATTATCATTGGGATTGCAGGTATTCAAAAAAGATGGCCCATTTGCTACTTTTTGATTGGAGATTTGATATTTTACACCCGAGTCAAGCTTATCCAGATTTATATTTCCTGAGATCTGGAAGGTCAGCATTTTAATCATTAGTCGAAGATCTGGGATCTTCCTTGTCCTTACAGACCCCAATTTCATGCTAAAGTGTTGTGAGCACCCGACGTGCAGGAAAATCCCTGTGCCATCTATTTCCACTCCTTCCCTTACCTCTAGAGAAAAGGGAACCAGACCTTCAACTCTGCTCTGATGGTTGGGGATGGTACAATGGGAGTTAAGGAGGGGTGGTACCAGAGGCTTTATCCCTCAAAACCTCATGGTCACCACCACCAGATGTACAATGGTCTCTGATCCGGTTCACACATGGAAAGCTTTCACTGGAAGGACGGATGCAAACAAATAAAAAGAAAAAAAATGACTGTTTATACTAATCCGCCTCCTTGTCTGCTTGCCGTTTCAGCCCTCAAGAGTCCAGCTGCCTTCCAAGAACAGAAAAAGAACCTGGAAAAATCCAAGGTAAAAGCTGCAGACCTTATTTTTTACTCTTTTATCCTCTTTTAATGGTTCACAGGCCACCGATGTATAAAGTGCAGCGTGAGCACAGATGGATTGCAGGTGTCCACTGTCCACATTTCAAGGGACACTCCTTGTTGCAGCAGAGGACTCTTCCCCAGGCACTGCAGATGTTCCCTTTCTTAAACCTTCACCGCTTGCACAATATTCATTTGGACAGTGGATTCATTTCCGTGTGCTCTTTGCTTAAAGTTTATCTAAAACTAAAAACCAAGCTTTCTGTTTTACGCAAGGGAGGGTTAGAGCCTTTGTCAGTGGTTTATCTCTGTCCGTGTCTCTCTGTTTCATTGTCATCTGCACAGAATATCTGTTCCGTTGATAGCGGCCTAAGAAGAGTTTTTCCCCTCACTTCTGGCTTTGTCTCTGGGACAGGAAGTGAAGAGAAATTGCCCAATGGGCCACAAATAGCAAAAACAAACCTGACACGGCTTTTAACTCTTTCTATCTCTGTATCAAAAGAGTAAAAAAAGGCTTTTGGACTTTAAACACTTCGGCTCTCGTACCTTCTATTATCGGTTTCAAGGGCTTTATCAAAGTATGTTATCAAAGGCAAGTAATGATTATTGAATTAAATGTACATATAAGTGAAAGGAAATGATACAAATAATATCAAACACGATACAAAATGTATTAAATATACAAATCTATCAAGAGATGGGGGGAGGGAGAGGGGAGAGAGGGGTGAGAGAGAGAGAAGACAGTGAGGAAAGAAGGTTCGGAGAGGGGAAGCAGGGAGAGAAAGAGAGAGGAGAGGGAGGAGAGAGGGAGGAAAGAGAGAGGGGAGAGGAGAGAGAGAGAGAGGAGAGAGTGGGAGAAGAGTAAGGGAAAAGAGGAAGGGAGCGAGGGAGGGGAGAGGAGAGAGAGAGAGAGGAGAGAGTGGGAGAAGAGTAAGGGAAAAGAGGAAGGGAGCGAGGGAGGGGAGAGGAGAGAGAGAGAGAGGAGAGAGTGGGAGAAGAAGAAGGGAAAAGAGGAAGGGAGCGAGGGAGGGGAGAGGAGAGAGAGAGGAGAGAGTGGGAGAAGAGGAAGGGAAAAGAGGAAGGGAGAGAGGGAGGGGAGAGGAGAGAGAGAGGAGAGATGGAAGAGAGAGGAAGCGGAGAGGAGAGAGAGGGAGAAGAGGAAGGGAGAGCGGGAGGGGAGAGGAGAGAGAGAAGAGGAAGAGAGGGAGGGAGGGGAGCGGGGTGGGAGAGGAGAAGTGGAACAGAGAGGAGTAATGGAAGAGAGAGGAGAGAGAAGAAGCGGAGAGGAGAGAGAGGAGAGAGAGGAGAGAGAGGAAGAAGAGGAAGGGAGAGAGGGAGGGGAGAGGAGAGAGAAGAGGAAGAGAGGGAGGGGAGAGGAGAGAGAAGAGGAAGAGAGGGAGGGGAGCGGGGAGAGAGAGGAGAGATGGAAGAGAGAGGAGAGATGGAAGAGAGAGGAGAGAGGGAGTGGAGAGGAGAGAGAGGAAGCGGAGAGGAGAGAGAGAGGGGAAGAGGAGGGGAGAGAGAGAGAAGGAGAAAGACTCCAGTCAAATGAGAGAGAGAAAGAGATGAAAGGATAGAGAAGAAGAGAGAGGGAAATGAGAGAGAGAGATTTCCACAATGAGCCTGCATATCTGGCAATAACTTTGTCATTACTTAAGATAACAAAGTAATACTGACATGTTATTCACTTTTCTTGGAAGGTTGGAGGGAACTAGACTTTCTTATGACAGCATTGTTTTGCAAAACTTATTAACTTTCTACAAAATCTATAGAAAAATGTAAAAAAAAAACATTTTAAAAAAATTGATCATTAAGTGATATTGTATCGTATCGTATCGTTGTGATATGGCGTTGTATATGAATCAAAGATCACACCTTTGGCCTACATATGAATGAAATAGTAAATCAGATGAAACAATACATTGATTCATTGTATTTACACAATGACACTTGCAGACTATCTGAAATGCTCCTTTTAAGTAAGTTAACTGGTAATAAATGCACGGGGTATGGGCACCTGGTTATGGTCCTAGGCTGCTGCCTGTCTGAGCACAGTGGATGAATCAGATGATGTATTCTTGGGTGTGGGGTTAGGAGTGCCTAGGACAAACATTCATCTAGCTTGGTGATTCACCTGAAATGTTTATTGGTTAAGAACATCCTAGGAAGCCATTTGGGGGAAAGCCACCCCCCCCTCCATCAGGGCTTAAGTGTATGGTCCGTGTCTACGCCTGGAAGAATTCACCTGAAAGCCTGGTATAAAGCTGAATTAGGCTGAATTGCCAAAGTGTCCTAGTGGCAATAAGGGTGGCCGACTGGATCCTGTTGGACATCTCGACAATTTAGCCCAATTTAGCTTCAAACTGCTTCCTGAATTACATTATTAACCAATAAACTAAAGGCACTCCTATCCCCACACCCAAGAATAAACCAGGCAGGTCAAACGGAATTTTTTAGGGGGTCACATGCAACCCTCTTGCTCCTTTTGTTGCGACCCTAATTGGTTTAAGCATTTGAAATGAATGAGGTTCCGGCTGCTTTGAAAATGGATCAAATCTACACTTCTTTAGGTAACTAATAATATATATATTTTTTTGTACCCTGAAATGAAGTAGTTGTGGCTTTCAGTAGACATGATGTAAGCCTCTTGAAGATCAATTTGACTCAATTTGGCCTTCAAGTTCATTTGGGTTTGACGTGCCTGATATAAACTAATTTGGCAGATGTGGCGTAATAGGGAATGTGTTGGGGGCCTCAGACAGTTTGCATGTGACTGGTTGAGAATACCCGGAGAGGTGCTATAGATTCCTTTAGCAGTATCTTAAAAACATTAGTGACCCTACAGGGGTCCAAGCACAGAGGGGACCGAGTCCGCATAAAAAGGTCTTCTTCTACCAGAATATTTACGGAACCTATGTAACTCCATGGGACTCCTCTGTCACCTGTTGTCCTTATATGTTTCAATAAGGGACAAAAATGTCACCGTTTGCATAAAAATCCATTCTCAGCGCAAAAACAAATTAGTGCTCCTCTCCTCATCTGACCTGAGATAGACCATGAAAAAAAAAAAAAGCAATCTGCTTCCCCTGTCTGGAGTGAAGAAGTGGCCTGTCTGATGGGAGGGGAACATGGACACTATCTGCTCCTATTAGACATTAATCCTTACAAAATGGCCGGACAGTCGCCCCGCACTGAATGAAGCCTTTTCACCGAACTGCAGGAAATGTACTGAGTCAACCTCACTAATCATAATATTTCAACTCCTGTTTTTCCAATCAGAGGATACGGTGAGGTCAGAGATGAAACCGGAGAGCCTAAAGTTGTCATGTAGAATAACTGGGGATTTCATTAGGTTTTACCTGCGCTTCTTTTTGTATCGGTTTACAATGGCAAACTCAACCCTCTAGGATCAATTTCACCTACATCAGATTTGTTTGTATTCAAATTTATTATTTTTGAATTATTTTGTTGGATCCAGGATCTGGTTTCCTCTTGCAGTTAACTACATTTGTTTCCTTTCAATTCAGCGCCGAATAATTATTTGAAAAATTAAAAGGAAAAAAAAAATGGTGAATGTTGATAAAATTTCCCATTCAGTTTCACTGAAAGGACTTACGAGCTGATAAACAAATAACGTATAAAGATTTATCAA